ATAACGAAGTAATATCGCCTGTTGGTTTATTCATATATTATGGATATTTTTTTTTTTTTTTTTTGCTTTCTCGTTTTACATCTACATAATTCGTTTTTTTTTTATTCCCGTTTTGAGATCACATCCTCTTTGACTGAAGCAATGTCTTTGTCCTTCGCAATCGGATAATATTGCCTTTTATTGTGTTTAGATTTTTAGGACTGCTTTCATCATTTTTATCATTATCATTATTGCACAATCACATTATCATTATTACTATTGTTCTTACTGCTATCACATTATCATTATTACTATTGTTCTTACTGCTATCATTATCATCATCTTTATCATCATCATTATCATTATAATTATCACCATCATTACTATTACTATTATCATAACTACCATCATCATTACTATTACAGAAATCCCTACCATGATGCAAGTTTTATTAATTAGGCACCCGTTAGTCTTGCCATGAATCATTTGCAACCATCACTGCCTTGAAACGAATTCTGAATCATGAGTCAGAGCCGAGATTGCAAAAGTGCTTAGCGGGAATGCAAATGTCGAAGGGGTCAGAAAAGAAGAGAGGGAACGAGAGAGAGGGAGAAGGAGAGGGAGAGAGGGAGAGGGAGGGAGTAAGAGAGAGAGAAAGAGAGAGAGAGAGAGAGAGAAAATCAGACAGCCAGATAGACAGAGAGAGAGAGAGAGAGAGAGAGAGAGAGAGAGAGAGAGAGAGAGAGAGAGAGAGAGAGAGAGAGAGAGAGAGAGAGAGAGAGAGAGAGAGAGAGAGAGAGAGAGAGAGAGAGAGAGAGAGAATGACAGACAGACAGACGGACAGGCGGACGGACAGATAGACAGACAGACGGACAGAGAGACAGACAGACAGGGAGAGAGAGAGAGAGAAAGAGAGACAGACAGTCAGACAGAGAGAGATACACCTGGGATGAGGTTTTATCTCAGGTACACCGATAGGAGGCCGGGAAGCAATGGGGAAAACACAGGTGCGCCGGAGGTTCAGTTCAAGCCGCTATTTATGGAAACATACATAAATACACACACACACACACACACATATATATATGTGTATATATATATATATATATATATATATATATATATATATATATATATATATAGAGAGAGAGAGAGAGAGAGAGAGAGAGAGAGAGAGAGAGAGAGAGAGAGAGAGAGAGAGAGAGAGAGAGAGAGAGAGAGAGAGAGAGAGAGAGAGAGAGAGAGAGAGAGAGAGAGAGAGAGAGAGAGAGAGAGAGAGACGGGTAGACAGACATACAGATAGACAGACAGACAGACAGATAGATAGATAGATAGATAGATAGATAGATAGATAGATAGATGGATGGATAGATAGACAAATGGAAAAAATACACATACACCCAAAAATGAGCATCATTATTCCACGACGCCTTGAGGCTTGCAGCGCAGTGCAGAAGAAAGACGATATATTAATCGGCAAGGACAGGTGCCACTTCAGATCCCGTCAATGAGGAAGTAAATACAAAAAAATAAGTTGAAATAATAGTTAAAAAAAAAAAAAAAAAAAAAAACAATGATAATTGTCTCTGACCTTCAACCCTGTATCCGTGAGAGCTCGTGGCTGTGTGCGTACGTGTGTTGGTTGCTACACCGTGAGGTTACTAACAGATGAGGAAAAATTTTGTGCATGTGTGTCTTTTTTTTAGGAACTAATCTTTGCATGGAAGGAATTTGTGCATGTGCGTGTTTTCTGGGTTGAGTTTGTGCCTGTGTCTACTTTATGAAGGAGTCAGTTCATGTTCGTCTTTTATGGATGCGGGATGTGCATGTACGTGCTTTCAGGAACGAGTTTGTGCCTGTGTATCTTAAGGAATGAGGTAGGTCATGCGTGACTTTGTGTGTTTAAGAGAGTTTCTTTTTTATGTGCGTGTGCTTGCGGTCTGGTTCAGCAAAGGAAATCGAAGAGACAAGCACTCTGAATGCAAAATACACGTCCTTGATTTTCATTCGACTCAGAGAGGGCCTTACAGTACTAGAAATAACAATGGCACAGACGCTATTGAGGTCACAGTCAAGTCACATTTTCCGACCCAGCTCTTGGCCTCCTATTTCAAAGACCTATCTCGTCCTTGTTATTTGAGAAGAAGAAGGTGTTTGAAGAAGATTTTGTGTGTAGATGTGGTCGTCGAGGCGGTACGGACGTAAACAAACCGTTGCAAAGGGATTCTGTCGAGTTTATTGTTGTCTTTTGGGTCTTGGGTTAATCGAATGCTTTGCCCGGACATCCGACATCCATTCCCAGGGGCGGATGTGATAATGGTTTGTTTATACTCTCTGTCTATCCATCTCATTATTTCAGTTTATCTGTGTCATTCTCGTTGTCTCTTGCCCTATCTGTTCCAATTTTTTATCAGACTCTTTGTTTATCCATCTCTCCCTTTCTATCCCCCTTTTCTCAAGCTCTCCCACTCGCTGAAGACACACACGACAGTTAATAAGATATGTCAGAATGCAAGCAAAA